CTTCGAATTACCATTTATAAATAAAATACATGTGTTTTGATTTCTTGATTGGGCTATCATATGATTAATTGTTATCAACACATTTTTCATATTAATATGAACTTTTGTTATTTTTCTCTTTCAAAATCTCACAAATTTTTACGACAAAGATCTATGCACAAAACATTATAAACTTGGAAACAACCCAAAACTTCGCTCAAGCTTCAAACCTATTAGCATGCCCTAAATATGTTTAAGACCTAAGGAAAAGCTCTAATCTTCTTTTGGCTAGCCACTTCAAGGCTTTGTTGCACATTTGCTTCTTTTTTACCCCCTAGTAAAATTAAAACCAAGTTTTTTTTTATATATAGTTTTACATTGTTATTAGATTTGCCAATCATATATCCACAATTGGGTGCCCATTTTTTTCTCAAATTTTACAGAAAAAGAAAGGAACCATTAACGATAATGCTGCTGTTTTATTCATTATTAATAAGACTCTAACATAATTAGGGAACATAGGAGAAGCCATGATATAGCTAACAAACTACAATCACAACCAACATCCCTAAACAAGACTCGAGAAAACCAATAAAAAAAAAATTAGATTTGACAGCAGCAATAACACATATAACATCGATTGGGACAATGACCACGACTGAATCTATTAGAGACATTATGGATTGGGCTGGATTGGCTGATTATCCGGTGATGCAGGGAATGGCCCGGGATTTTCAACCTCCAACCCAAGCTGAATCATTCCCGCAATGATAAACTTATTCAGCTCCTCCAGTGCAACTCTCAATTGTTCAAGTTGTTCATCATTAAGCACATCCGAAGGAGCTGACAACAACCAGTACTGATGACGACAATCTAGCACTGTCTGTTCATGGTGAGCCTCAGGAAGCTGAGCCTCGGGAAACTGGTCCTCAAGGTCTTTGCTAGGAGGGTTCCAACACAAAAACATGAACATGGCTAATTCAACACCAGGATTATGGAATACTGTGTAGAAAGCTCACTTAACTTGTTAAAAAGCGTGAAGAGGTACTTATAATGGTTTTGTTCATGTATTTTTGTAACTGTAATTCCAATTATGTCCTTATTCAGGTCCATTTGAACTCAAACCATGTACTAAACTAGTGTTCACAAGCATTATTTATAGCCAAAGAAATGTTGTGAATCAATGTGTGTTAAATTAGTTACTAGTTTTGGAGGTTTTAAAGTCTGTATGGCCACTTTTTTTATACCAAAAATATTGAAGATAACAATGATTCCATTCAATGTAATATTACGTAATATTACTTGATAAAAAAAATTTACAAATGAGATTGGATGAACCACCCCCGTCTCCCAATAATCTAATTATATAGCCTCACTACCACATCGTAAAATTGCTAATTAAATAATGATACCACCACATAATATTCCATTATATTTTTTTTAGTTGTTATACCCAATGCTTAGAAGTGCAAAAGCAATTTGCATACTCAAATGCAAAAGGCTTCTTTTCAAAAGAAAAAAAGTATCATACAAAAATTGCATCATATAATTGTACCAATTGTATAAAAGTTTTGAAAATCATTTTCAAAAACCCGTCTCTATGACACCTATTATTAAAAACTTGTTTTTCTTCTAATTTTTCTCCGGAACTTCAATAGTTTCTCTTCTTCTTCTTTGTAAAGGAAAACATTCTATAAGCCTATGAAAATACCTATAATGTTAACATCATGCTAACAAAGTAATAGAACTTAGAAATATATTTGATAAATTGCTCGTTTTCCATATTTATCAAATCTTTATCCCGTTCTTAACCAAAAAAAAAAAATTTGTTCACTATTTACAATATTTTATTTTTCATGTGACACTTTGTGAACGATTATAATCATTTTTGAAAGAAAAATTATTTCATAATGAAGTTCCCTTTCTATTTTTTCACCATATTTCCCATTTCTCAACCCATGCATGCGTACGTATCCATGCTCATTTGGCATGCATTTTCTTGCTTCTTGTAATGATGTATACATACGTGTACGGTAGCCGTACAACACCCATAAAATCTTATCTAATTCAATTATTATTAGCTATTTAATTATGAACTATAATTAGATTTAGTTATGCTTAAGAAAGTAGTTAGGATTAACAAAATAATTAATGTCGTATTCCTGTGGACTTGTTTTTTTCTGAACCTGTACCATTTCTATTTTTCCAAATAAAACCCATTGAAATTGAAGATTACACAAAAAAAATTAAAATAATCAAAAATATTTTAAAATAAAATAAAGAAGTAAAGAGCAAAATGTATAGAAGAAATCATCACAACGTTTTGTCATTATGATTACATAATCACTTTAATAACTGTGAATTTTAGCTGGACTAATTCAAAATAAAGACCTTTTTACAATCTTTTAACATGCTTCACAATTTAAAATAAAAAATAAAAAACACTCATTTTGGCTTTTTGTCCTTTTTGCGGCTGTTCACTTTTTTTTTTTTTTTATCGGCAAAAAGAAATACTTTATTGATGATAGAACCATACAAAGTATGAAAAGATACATCACTAAAGAGGAACTTGGAGCTAAGCAAAGCTCCAATCTTCTAGTTGGTGAGAAACCAACAAAGAAAAAAGAGCAGAACAAGAGCAGAACAAAATAGAAAGCATCAAACCCCAGCAGAACAAAATAGAATGCACCAAACCAGAAGGAGCAACAAGAGCAGAATAAAATAGAATGCACCAAACCCCAGCAGTGCAGCAGCATTAGCGATAGAAAGCACCTAACCCCAACACAAGTTATACCCCAACAGATGATGATGCACCAGAACAAAAGAGAGACAATAACAGCAGCAAAAAAGAGGCTCCAGCAAGAGCAGAGAGGCTCCAATAAACCCCAAGAGTATAGGTTCCCCAGCAGATCATGATGCACCAGAACAGAACAACAATCAAAACCAGAGAGGCAGCACAACAACATCACATTAACATCAGCAGACCATCATTAGCAAAATATAACAGCAGTTCACAGGTTATATCCATCAGGGCATGATGCAGAATTTCACATTTTGCAAATTAAACACCAAATCATCAACTGAATAACAAAAAGAAGGTAATTAAAATTAACCATATAAACATATAAACATGTTTAACCATATAAGCATATAACCTAAAAGAAGGTAATTTAACCATATAAACATGTTTTTATCAAAAATAAACAATTTGAAAGGTAATTAAAATTATTTAAAAAACACTAACTAAATGAAAAAATTAGTAATCATGCCATTGATTTCATTTTGCCATATAAAGTATAAACCCAAGTCTTGCTAGAATTTGTGACATTGTTACAGGTTGTGTAGATTTCAAAACTCTTTTCTTGGATTACATCAGCATTGAATATTTCTGAATAGGTTACTATCTAGGTTGGACTTTTATAGCTTGTATAATTAATTTACAATTCACAACACACTGAGCAAAATCTGATTGGTATTGCTTTGTGTGAAAATTGAAAATCGCAAAAAAAAAATGAATTAAAAAAATTATGCATTATGTAATGTATGGTTTTATACTTAATCACATTCATCTATACGTTCAACTCTCCTTAAGGGGAAGTTTAATTAAGGAGGCAAGCATTTAATACTTTGCAAGAGTAGAAATGTTTAACTTCTATAAGTATTAATCTGACAACTAATAATTGACTTTTGTCAATCAATAAACAAATAAATAAATGTATTGGCTTGACCTAGGTGTTGTTTAGCTGTACAAGTCATTTTGCATTCATGAATTGTGCCATCGCAGAATTGAAAAAAAAAAAGAAAAGAAGAAGATTTGCCAATTCATGTGTAATATATTTTAATGAAAAATTAACTCAATTTGGTCAAACTACAATCAAATGATTAAGGAGTTTTGACATTCTAAAGAAACTTTTAGAATGATTTCTCAGAAGGCATAAAGAATGCAACAGGTAATTGTAAGAAAAGAGTTTTCAATAAATCGTCATTTTTTCCTTCAATAAACCTTTTTGGTACATAAAAAGTAAACTTTACGTAAGTAATCAGTCCCATATGAAATTCATAAAACATTCATATTTGACACTTGAGAAGGTCACATTTCTTTAATCTCCTCATACAATCCATAAAAATATATATATATAAATAAATAACAAAAAAAATGAAACTGTATATATTTTCTATGGATTATTTTTTAATACATCAAATGACTTGATTTCAAAGAAGTTTCTCACAAATTAAATACCTCAATGTCAAACTATCTCTCACATTAAATTCTCCATTCATTTTATTAGGAATGCATTCAAGTTCATTTCCCGCTTTGAAATCGTAATGACTTTACAAATAAAACTTCATGAAATTTGAGATTAATTACCCTGCGCAGCGATTAGATTATCGTTGAAGATAAAACATAACAAAAACTCAACTCTATACATGTTGGATTGATCAAATCACAAATCCATATGTCTTTAACATATTGGCATTGGTTCCTTGCATATTGAGTGTTTATCTCCATTCAAAAAAAAGTCAAATACACCTAGCAAAATAATAAATACACAAATAAATGCAGATTTTTTTTTATTGAATGCATTATCTTCCTAGCTGTCATTCAGTCCTCCACTGTAAATATTATGTGAAGTTTGGATAGTATCAATATTCACAGATGACAGATCAATACACTTCATCATTTTAAATTGAAGAACCATTAATCTTAACAATAATTAGAGAAATTTCACCGTTGCTTTGCTGTGGATGGGTTCTTGATGAAATCCATTTTGTTTCTTTCTTCTCTTTGTTCTGACCCATACATTGGGATATAAAAATAAGATTAAAAGACCAAAAAAAAAAAAAAACAAGAGAGATAATTTGAAAGCAATGCTAGATGGCTAAGATAATTTTTCCTTCTCAAATTAAAGGTCTGTTTCACTAGAATGAAAATTATAGAAAGTGAAGAAAAAAGAAAATTTATTTTCTGGTACTTATTTGGTTAAGATAGGTTTTGTCTGAGAAAGTAATAAGAAAATTGATAAATGAGATAACAATTAATTACTTTCAGGAGGAAAAAATCATATAATATTGACAAAAAAAGAAAAAAGAAAAACTGTGTACAATGTAAAAAACATTAATATAAATCAGCCATATGCTTCTAGTAAAAACCATGACCATAGCCATGGTTAAATTCATAAGGAGCCTTCGAACCACCGGCGTGTAGAACCCTACCATCAAATGGAACAATGCCATTGTTGTCGCTGCCACCACCACCTGCTCCAAAAGAACCCGGCCCTGCACCAAATGGTAAAGCACCAATACCAACACCTCCAGCAAAACTCGGGCCCGCCTGAAATGACGAGCCACCAGCACCACCACCAAAAGAACTCTGCCCGTCAAGAAATCCACCACCACCACCACCAAAAGAACTCGGCCCTGGATGAAATCCGGCACCTCCAGCACGACCACCAAAAGAAGTCGGGCCCACCCCAAATCCAAAGGGATTGGCAGGCTGTTCATGCACAATCCTATCAGCGCGGATTCCAATCCTAGTCCTGAGTTCCATCATAGCAGCCTTAAACTGAAGAAGCTGTGGCAGATTCATCTCCTCAACCGGACCCTCCCACCAGCGATGTTCGCCCTGACCCTCGGCCATCTTGAGCTGATCTAGGGCTGTGCGGCGCTGCTTCTCCACGTCCAGAAGGGCCTGGACATGAGTCAACTGCAGGTTAAGATCCCGGACACAGGCGCTCCTGTGGGCCTCCACCAGCTGGTGGGTCCCACTGTTCAGAGGAGCGTCTCGGGACAGAAACCTATCGATGATCATATCCACAGCGGGGTGGCCAAAAGAGTAGGCCTTTTTTCCAGGAGAGAATGCAATGATTCCCACCTCAGCACCACACAGGATTGAAAGCTCGCTGGCTTTCTTGAAGAGACCAGATCGCCGTTTTGAAAAGGTGACTTGGAGGTTGCTCTCGTTCTCCATTTTGGTCATGGTGATCTTTTGGCGGCCTTTGCTCTTTCTCTCCATGGCTAGGGTTAACACAAGGAAGGAAGAGAATGAAGTTTTTTTTGTTACAGGGAAGAGAATGAAGCTGTGTGATTGTGTGTATCCTAAAACACGTTTTTTTTGTTGCAGGGAAGAGAATGAAGCTGTGTATTGTGTGTGTCCTAAAACATGTGGGTATTTAAAGAGGTTTGGCTATGCCTTGTGGGGCTTGTTTGCTTCATGGGATTAGTGGGGCCACCCAAAGAATCTAAATAGGTTTGGCCATACCTTGTGGGGCTTGTTTGTTTCATGGTATTAGGTAAGTAGGTGTTTGGATGAATAAATTTTAGGTAAGTTGTGTTTGGATGAGGTATATTTCTGGAGAAAATTAATAAAAATAACATAATTATAATTATAATTCTTTTTGGTAAGTAGTTATTTGAATTCTAATTTCTGATAAAAATTTTTTGATAAGTAGCTGTTTGAACTATATTTTCTTCCCAATTCCTTAGATGCATATGCAGCAGTAAAAATAAAAAATAAAAAATAAAAAAATTGAAATATATAAATCTTGAGATATAATTCAATGATTAGAATAAATTTATAACTGCCGAATGAAATCTCGCACCAAAAGTTTAGGATTTTGTATCTTATGGGCCCGCATAAAATGCACGAGTTTTTTTGTGTTATCTAATTTATCATTTTTCAATTATGAAATCGGGATTCATAGTCTCATAACATTTCTAATCTCGCAAAATAGTAAAATTACCAATACTATGACTCCATGGTATTAGCAATGTCACATTGTTTTGTCACATTATTTTTTTCACAAGTAAAAATTAATCATATAACATTTGTATCGAATCATAATTAAACATAATTCAAATATTTTCATAACATATATAGTAATTCTATTCATAATATCATGGTATTATGTGGATCTATGATTCTTATAATCTCCTTATTAATGTTATTGGTAAGTGAAAAGAAACTCCCAATGAGAGTATTATATGATATTATTAGAAAAATGTTTTAGTGTTCTAATTGAGTATTCTCAATCTATCCCTAATTGTGTGGAATGGACCCCACTTTCAATCATTATCCCTCCTCTCTCTCTCATCATTAAATGTTAATATGAGATGATATATTAAGGGATGTAATCTCGAAGGCCATGTTTGTTTCACTGGATATAAAATAGAAGATATATAATATGATATGAGATTTAGTCAGAATATATAATGCCCCAATTCATGTTTGTTGACTTGATATATAAGACTAAATATATATTATTCATGTTTGTTTTACAAAATATATTATGGGATATAAACAAGTAATTTCCAAGATTACCCTCATAATATTATATTATATTAAATTAAATTCAAAATTTATATTAAATTATATTATATTATATTAAATTAAATTCAATCATATTACATTATATTAAATTCAAAATTTATATTAAATTATATTATATTAAATTCAATAATATTAAATTCAATTCAATAATTATATTATATTAAATTATATTTTGTTGGATAGAGAAGAGGGTAAATTGGACTTTTTAAATCATATCCCAACCAAGGGGATATGATATAATGAGGGGGTGATGGTATTGTATATCCTCAAATTTTTGGAGATATACAATCTCATAATATATTATATCCTTTTTAAAAAAAAAATTGCAAACATGGGATATGTGGACCCCACAGGATATAATATTCAATCTTACTCTTTATATCTTGGAATCAAACAGGGCCTAAGGGAATAGTTAAAAAAAGCTTGTTAGGCATTTTAGCTAATATAATTCTAATTTTGGACTCCAACGAGCTGGCTATTAGGCTAGCTACTTTACCATCCTACCTTTTTTGCTAGCTACAATTAAAGAGCCCCATAGGCTCTCCAAACAAATATGTATTTATATGTCTTGGATTTTTATATATTTATGTCTTAAATTTGGGATTTTATATATTTTATATATGTATATATGTATGTAGCAATTTTATATGTTCTTTCAATTCTGTTTGATGAATTACAGAATAACTTATTTTGTATTTTGTATTCTTTTCCCCTCATTCTACAGGTTTTGTATGCTTGTATGGGCAAATTTATTATTATTGCAAATTTAAATTAGTAAACTATCAACAATTAGTATTTTTTGTTTTAAAAATTAATTAAGTTAGTTTGAATGATTAGCTAAAATAAAAAGTGTGGTTGGAGAACACAATAACTAAAGTAATTAGGTAAAATAAAGAGTGTATTTTTTTCGTATTTTAGCTAATAAAAAGTAGAGAGTGTCGTAGGAGTTGCTCACCACTCATATTATTTGTGATATCACAATAAATAAAAAATTGTAACACACTAAAGTCTTGTTTGGAGACTTGGGTTAGTAGTTAAAAATCATTATAAGTTATCACATCACTCTCTCTATTTTTGTACGTTATTTTGCACATCTTTTTGTAAAATGTCAAAAATCAACTAAGTGTATATTAACATAATACCTATTTAATTACTTGCTAGTTATAGAGATTTCAATTTCTTTTTATTTAATCTATGTGCAATGCTACTTGCCCAAAACCAAAAAATCTATCCGGATTTATACGATTGTCATGAATTCATTGCTGTCATGGTTGGACTAAATTAAAATATGTTGAGGGATATCAATTGTATTACTCACCAAATTCAAATGTCAAGATAAATTTCAAAATGAAACTGAAAATAATTATAGGATGGTATGCGACATTAATGCATCACCATCATTACATAATTGATGAATAGGTAGATGATTTACAAATACAAATAAATAATGAAAAAGCCTTGGTATTCATTTTTTGTTGATATATCATTGATTTTTTATCACTATTTTATATCACTATGTAAATTCTCACAATTAATTTCTTATTTAAAAAAAATTACTAATAAAATAATAATGACAAATAATATTTTATCATGTAATTTGATAATATAAAATAATTAAAAAATTGGTGAGATAAACAGAAGTTGTGCTAGAGATCTCTAAATTCACCCACATTAACATGGTAGGGGGTTAAATATTGGTTGATTTTTAAACAAATCAGCAACTAACATGCAAAATAATCCACATTATCAAGGATAATTTAGGAGATGATATTTTAAGGGTCATCCCCTAAATTTACACCCTAGTAACATAAGCAGTTGCACGTCAATTGTTAATTTGTTTAAAATAACCAAATAATTGCACGTCAATTGTTAATTTGTTTAAAAATCAACTAAATAGTTGCAAGTCAATTTTTTAATTATTTTAAAATCAACCAACTAAGACTTAATCCCTTGTCATGTTAGTGTAAATAAATTTAAAAATAATATTTTAAAATTATCTAGCATAACTCTTTTTTATTATGCCTCAAATGACACCAATTAATTGAAAAACAAACACTCCTTTAATCTGTATGTAAAAGTGGGAAAATGAAGTGTGTGTAATCTAAGAAAATGTAAGACTTATCCTAATGATGGGAATGCAAAATCAAGATGCTTTTGGCTTATGACAGCAAATTTAGAAGTTGGAGAAACAAAGCAACTCTCAATATTAATGTTTAAATATGTGCATTTATGCAGCACAGTTGTGGCTTACTCTTGAATGTAATGCTTATCCAATGAAATGTATGTCTAAATTTTTTATTTAAAATACTTGGATGCCATTAATCTAGACAACAAATACAAATTTAAAACAATATGTAAAATAAAAGCTTGACAATAATGCAAAATCTAGAAAACTCATTAATATATGTAATTTGCTTAGTTGTAGTAATTAAAGTCCTGTTGACCATTATTATCCTTTGAAGAGAAGATGAAAATTTGTGTAAACATTTTTCTTCTGTCTAGAAAGTTGATAATGAGTCCAAACCAATAAAAATTTCATAAAGAGGAATATTATATAAATTAATAAATTTATTAACCTTTTTTATTCATTGGAGTTTGTTAAAAGTTAGTGAGATTTATTAATTTGCATGATATTTTTTTTGAATTATTTAAACCAAATCAATCACATCATTCTATATAAAATTTTATAATTTGAGTAAATTACACTATTATTCTCTATAGTTTAAATGAAATGTCACTCTGTATATTAAATTTAAATCTTATACTTTCAGTTTTGTAGCAATGTAGTCCATTCGTCATTTACTGCTATAATTTTGAACTTAAACAGATCACGTGTTACGTGGGATTTTTAGTAATTTTCATACAAGAAAAACAAATTAATAAATTATATCAGTGGTCTCTATAGTTTATTTTGAATTTTATCTAGTCACTCCAGTCATGACAGAGGAATAATATTATAACAAAACTAAAAATATGATATTCAAATTGATAATACAAGTACTAAAGTGACACTTTGCTTAACATTTTGGATAGAAATGCAAAGCTAGAGTAAGCAAAATAAATTTGTTTTTAAAAAAAATTATAGGAACCACTAGTAAAAAATAAATAAATAAATTCTTGTGTGAAAATTGTTAAAAAGACCATATACAACTCACATGGGATTGCTAAAAATTTCATATGAGTTGCATAGTATTTTTCTTTTAGAATTGTAACGATAAGTGAAATTGCTAAAATCCCACGTGAGTTGTACATGATTTTTTTTCCATTCAAAAATTCTAATGATAATTGACTGAAGAATATTCACATTATAATAAAATTGGAAATATAAAATTTAAATTACTCGAATTGAAACTATAAGAATCAAAATAAAACTCCACTCAAACTAGATAAACCAGCTATATAGGCTATGTTTAGCATGTAAGTTCGAGACTATTTTAGTCATAAAAAGATAATAAGTTAAAAAGTTAACAAGACAAAATATCACATTTAAATCATAATTATTTCATTTTTTCTTTCACAAAAGTTTTAAAAAAAAATCAAAAAACCCCAAACTAAAATAGCCAAAATAATCAACCCACTTTCCAAACGAAAGCATAATATACCCTAACTTTTCATTTTTGAGAGGAAAACCATACTATCATAGCAAGTGATTATAAAAGCTTGACTTTCTTTTTCTTTTTTATTTTTCTTTTTTAAATTTTTATTTACGGAATTGACGACCTTAATAAGGGCCTTTTCCTTTGGTTCTCATCAATAAATCTTATTTTTTATTTCATGTATAACAACAATATCCACTCACCCTTCCAAACCTAGTCCACAAGAAAAATTATTTAATTATTTTTAGACACAACTATGCAAACGATTTGTGGAAATGCTACACAACGAACTTTCCTTACAAATTTTGTTTACAGAGTAATATGACAGTTAAATTACTCTTATCAATTAATTTTAGGAAGTCTATTTTAAATACCAATACTTTGTTACAATATGTCACATCAATTTCTACAAAATAATTATTATTATTGTTTTGAATCCCAAAATCAACAAGAGTACAAGTGTTTCAGCAAGCAGAGGCAAATAACAAAGCTCACTCTTGTCCAAGTGCAATGTTAAACAAAAGGAATGAGATCTTTTTTTCATCTGAATATATGAATTACACACAGTTTAGAAGTCTACAATAACAAAGATTATTTTCGATGTAGCCAAAATCGTTCCAAATATACATATTAAAATATTCCTCACAGAGCAAAATATGGATGTACCCAGGCTAGTGAACCCCAAATTATCATTACTTTAGTTAGGAAATGACAGATGTGAATTCCTCAATAACAGAAGGATAAGTATTCACCCAAAAAAAAAAGGATAAGTAAAATGAATAAGAAAAACTATTGGGTCTTAAATGAAAGATCCTTTAATTGCTGAGGATCCACCTCGGAGGGTGCACGAGTTAGGGCGCACTGGGCTGTTGTTGTCTTGGGGAAGGCAATAACATCCCTGATGGAATTTGCACCAGCCAACATCATCACCAACCTATCCAGCCCGTAAGCAATTCCTCCTGCATCACACACATACAGATTAACTGACATGAAAACCATTCCTGCCATAAAACCAAGCTTTGACATAACAATGGAATAGGATTCTAATGAAGGACAAACAATGGAGTTGTGTATGGTCAAGTTAAATTCATTCTAAGGAATCAGTCTTAATTCCAGACTAGACGATTCCAATATTAGATAACTGTTGGCCTGAGGCCATGGTCCAAATAATGTTCAAGAGAACTCAAAAATATAGACAGATGAGCAGTAGTTGGACATCCTAGCATTAAAAAATCCTTGTGTTCATCAATAGTGCAGAACGATGATTCAATCTAACCACTACAGGTTTAAATTATGCATGACATTTACTTCCAGGCCAACAGTGAATAAATTATCCCCAAATGATAGTAATTTGTTGTTATGTTAGATATAAGCTAGCAGTTCATACCATGTGGAGGAGCACCCATGTCTAAAGCCTCCAAAAGATAGCCAAATTTTGCTTCAGCCTGTAGACAAAACAGAGCCCATATTACATTTGGGTCAATAGTTTCTAGATTTAACATCCGGCAATTCCTTTCCTTGGGAGCAATAAGTATTAACACATCAATCTAAGGAAATTCAAAAGTTCCAAGTGGTGTCCAATTGGAACTCACCTTTAAATGGTAAATATATGTGGCTGTATCTATCATTTCAAAAATATTTTAACTAAAAAGAAATAAAAATCAGAAATTAGCGTGCAAACCACAGTGATCTACCCAAAACTTGCCAGGAACTATTTTCCAAAGTGCCAACATCACATATGTGTTTCAATTCAATGTAGTGTGCACACCACAGTGATTCAATATCTTGAAGAATTGGTCAATGCATGAAAATATATGGATAGTTGTTAGTAGTACAATGAAAATTTTGGCCCATAGAAGTATGAAAACCATGATAATATTAATATCAGGTAATTCAAAAGATCTACATACAAGAGGATACTTTCTCCAATTTGGTACTTACATAATGCATTAGATGGGAATATAAAAATAATTTACAACGTAGGAGATAAAACACGGCCCTAGTAATTAATAATTGAGCAACCCAACCAGTATTTGTTAAGTGTCTCCTCACCTGCTCAGGGGAAATGCCTACAATTTCCAAAACCTTTTCTTGAATCTCACGCTTATAAATTCTCAAGCTTCCTCCACCAATCTGATAGCACCACAGCAATTAAGTATTGCACCGTTGAATTTCACATGTTAAGTATTGGCAAAAGATCAATATTGCAACTAACAGAGAATAGAGTACATATTTATAAACCTCAACTCCGTTGTAAACCATGTCATAAGCTAAGGCACGGGCCGAGGACAGATCCTTCATATCTTCAGGGTTTGGGGCAGTGAAAGGGTGATGCAAGGCCTGCAACAGAACAAAATTACCATGATCTCAACAATTAAAAAGGAAGAACCAGAACATAAAATGACTTGTCATAACTACCGCAGATGCTAAAAACATAATAGCACAATGACCTCTAATTACTACCAAGAATAAAATAAGTCAGCACTTTAGTCTCATCATTCAGAGAGAGGGGGAGTTAGCGCTAAAAAAAATTCCCTCATCAGATTAGCAGCTGACAATAGATACCAGGTAACCAAAGAATGCTAAAATCAAATCATAGAAATAACCCTTTTCCCATATACCATGCAAATTTTACTTATCAAATCCAAGGTAGACAGCAATTCCTCAATTATTACAAGGTAATAATAGCAGGAATCTATCCCCATGTACGATACAAGTCTGACTGGTTAACCCATCAGGTCTAAATATCCCAAATAAAGCAGCAAAAGATTGAACATTTTTTGTCAAATAGTTCGCTGAAGATTTTCTTGTAGCCGATCCCACTTGATTGGGACATAGGTTTAGATTAGTTTGGCTTGGTTCACTGAAATTGACACATGTAACACTCATTTTACTAGAATTGCAAAAGAAAAACTAGACATGAGATTCTTCATGAATACAGAAAGAAGTTCGATAACAAATTTCACAAATTGTCATAACAAAAATCTACTTCATCACAAATGGCTTGAGAAATTTAGTTTTAAATTCCCTAGAAGAAAGCACAGAAGAAGATCACAACATACCATTGAAAAAACCCAACTACCACTTCTTCCATGAATAGAAATCATAATATTTAAGAAACTAGAAGTAGAAGTGCATAAACACTAAACAGACCTCAAGCCTCTGTTCTAAACTGTTCCATTCAAACATTGGGAAATCAGTCACCCAGAGAATTGAATGCCTGGACTACATGCCAGAAAACAAAAGAAACAAGGAGAGTCAGTACGAGAGGGAAATGTGAATTAAAACTTTCAAAATTGAAGGCATACTACGAGCTTACTTGGTCAATCAAGCCCAACTCATGTGCTACATATACCCGTAGCCAGTCTAAGGTTTTATTAACTGAGACATGGTGACCCAATGCAAACAAGATAAGATCACCTGATCCTGCAGAGCACCGTGTCAGTAACTGCTCCGTTTTTGTAGGATCCAAACTCGATACCAGTGCAGGGATGCCCTCAATGGCCCCTATAAGTAAAATATGAGACCATCAGTTGTGAACCATAAAATCTCTTTACAAATATCAGGATTGTCTGTTTTCAGTTGTTACCATCATCCAAGACCTTTAGGAAAGGTAAACCCTTAGCTCCAGATTTGATTGCTTCATTGAAAATATCACCTTTCTTAAGGGCTGTGTTTGAATAGCTTTTTGATCCTAAAGGCACACATAAAACTTTTATAATTCCCCTACTCGCCAGGGTATCTGTAAAAACCTTGAAGGAGGAATCTGTGAAAATATCAGATACCTGAAATTCCAACAAAGACAACAAACAATGGAATGAAAACTCTTCCAAGAACGCAAAAACAAAGAGGAAATTGCTTATGAATATCAAATAAATTTTCATCATAAATCACCAACTATATGCTCAATATTGTTATGATGCTATATTAAGCCAACAAGGAACTTCCATTTTTGTGGAAATAAAGTAAAAAATAAAACTTACTTTTAGATACAAATCCAAAATAGAACAGGAAGTGTTGGCAGTATCTTACGACACATAGTACCGTACACATGATTTAATACACTTAATAGAAAGTCGATATATATCACACATCTGCATGTTATGTATATGTAAAAATACCCATGGGGACATGGTGCACAACATGGTCTATGATATTTGATATGTACAATATGTAAATGCTTTGATTTTCAATGGTAAGCATTACTTCCCAAAATTGATATTGTGCAAAAGGTCCGTCAAGATGAAAAGAGATTTTTTTTAATTTTGCTTTTGCTACCTTCACAGAGTTTCTACTTTTCTGGTACTAAAAATATAATGCCATTGGAAAATGCCCACAAGATTAGTAATTAGTATTTTTGCATTGTAGTGAAGTTTTTGAATATTTTGCATCAAACTTATGTAGTCTAAAACTCCTATGAAATATACTTTGTTGACATCATGATATAATAATGCAACTAAGTTTCACATCTTTTATAAGATTTAGCTTATATCTTCACAATTCATATTAACTGTATTGTGTTGATTTCTGCATGGCTTTAGCTCCAAGAGTCATGCTTTTTATCATATAATCAATTATATGTTGCCTACTGCTTCATCCTTGTAAGATATTTTCTTATTTTTAAGGTACTTAATTTTTCTACACATTTCTGAGGATGTAAAAAGATCTTATGATATATGATACAATACAATGTGTTTTATAAAAACAGGAAGCCAATACAAGATATGTATTCTGATTCGACAACTATTATAACAATTATTGTCACTATATTATTTGCTGAAGAAAGCAGGAGAATAGTGACAAATAACATTATATAAACCTCCCACGTCATATCTTAAAATTAAGAGGACAAAAATGGTTAACCATTTACACTGGCTCATCAGAGAAGACTAGGAGGCATGAAGCATTTTAATGATTAAATACCTTCATCACATGACCACGTAAAGGATCAGTAAATGTGAAATGAAGTATAATGTACTGGTAGCAAGGTTGGCCTGTCATAAATTTCATGTTCATTTTTTAAAGTGGTAACTGTGTATTAAGGCCTCGTTTGGGAACAAGCTAATTTAGTAACTTTTTGGCTATTTGGCTAAAAAGGTAGGTAAAAAAAACTTGCATGTTTGGGATGACTTTTTGGCTAATTACGAAAAGATGTGCAAAAAGTAGAGAGAAAAGAGAATCTTTGACTTTTTGGTATAGGTTGTTGGCTTTTTGGCTAATTTAGTAACTTTTTGACTAATTGGCTAAAATAGCCTCTTGCCAAACGAGGCCTAAGTTTATGATAGCAGCTCAACTACAGTATAAAAAATCGGAAACCTAAGATAATGAAACTGGAAAGTAGTGCAGTTAAAAACAAACACTCAGCAAAGTGCATTAGTTTTCTCAGGATCCAATCAGAAACACTGTAGAAGCCTGATGTTGAACATATAAGTCAATTTCTTCCACCACCACCACCAAATAAATAAATAATAAACCACCCAAACCAGACAGAGAGAGAGGGAGGGAGGCATTATTACATCTCTTAATTCAAGATCAAATCGAACATCTGGTCTGTCTGAACCATATTGACTCATTGCTTCAGCATATGTAAGCCTCGGGAAAGGATTGGGTAGCTGAATACCTTTGATCTCCAGAAAAACCTGCAATAAGCATATCGAATCAAACCTCATAGTGACATTGATCAAATCAAGTTTCAGGAACATAAAAATAAACTAAATTAATAAAAGAATTATATAACATATAATTTATAACTTGATGCAACAAGCTCTGCTATGTGCAAGCAATCTCCTGGCCTGGACTCTACTAGGTGCTCAATAGTGTGCATACCAACTTCATGCACTAACAAGTTTGGTTCACTACAAATCAAGATTGAGGAAAAATTTTAAGGTTCAAAAGGTGAGCTCAGGCCATAAGCCAAGCCAAGATGGGCTCTGCTCAAGAAGAATTTGACTCAGTCATTTCTAGGACAAATTAGCATTGTACACAAAATGTACAAATTGGATCAAGTTAGATTATGGCCTCAATAGTCTATTCCTTAGTAAATGCTATAGATTTTAGCAGCCAGATTTGGGATTGAAGCTTTGAAAACCTTGCAATATATCAATTGAAACTCTTTCATCCCACCTACAGACATACTCTGAGCTGAAGTAAAGCCAACCCAAGCCTATCAGTGTCCAAGAAAAATTCTAGTGATTACGCAGCAGCCTAAACAAAGACCTCAAAAATTTCATATCACAATGCTGACAAATGCCACATAAAATTAATTTGGGTCAGGTTAATTCATTAGCAGCTTTTAGTCTCCGAAAATTATTGGCCTGTCAAAGGGTATTTTGCGATAATTTGATTGGATTCATTTTTCTATATTAGATGTCATAAATAGGCATGACATAGAAAAAATGATGTGAATTTAATTAATTTAACTGAGCATATAACCATAGACAGAGCATAATAGCGAAAAATGATTCAGGCAGCCAACCCCACTTGAGTGGGACATGGGGCTTGGTTTGGTTTGGAAGTTGTAAATAGACATGACAAGGTTTCACTCTACACACCATATAAAAACATAAAGAAAATGTTCTGAAAAAGCTGGCATATCATAAAATTTCTCAGTTCTTTAATTTAAATTTATGCTGCGAGTTCTCCCAAACTGATAGTGACTGGAAGGAGAACATTAAATTGCTTTTGGTTCATTATCTCACTCTTATTCGTCATCCTCTTCTCTATCTTATTTGTTGATCTTTTATCAGGGTGCTTCCCAAATCTAATTAGAATTTTAACCACCTGACAACTAACTTAATAACCTGTCTAATCAAATCTTCATTGAGCCTGAGCATGTTCTCCAAAGGAGTGAAAGCCATCTCCATATCCAGTTGTGTAAACTCAGGCTGTCTATCTGCCCTAAGATCTTCATCTCGAAAACATCTGCAAAGGAAGAAGACCAAAATGAATTTCTACCATAATTTTGCTAGGATGTCTGCCCATGAAAATCTAATTTTGATTCTTCTTCTACTATCTAACAGGAAAATGTTTATTCTTCTATTCCCAGTAAGTTGGATTGTTTTGTAGGTCAAATCTTTTTGTATACTCTCTTTCATTCTTGAAATCAGTACACCCATCATTTTGGTATTCAAGAAAATCACATTTTTACACAAAAAAAACTGTCGATAAAAAAGAAAAGGAACAAAAGATGAGGTAAAAAATTAAAAAATAAAAAAGATCTAATAAGTTGAAATGTTTATTGGCAGAATGCTGAAATCACACCTAGCACAAGCAACTAGCAGAGCAGTCGAACCAAATTTCAAACGGCCATTAACTAAAAGACCTACCTCGCTATTTGATAATATTTATCAAAACCGGAGACCATTAGCATCTGCTTAAACAGCTGTGGACTTTGGGGCAAAGCATAGAAGGTTCCTGGCTTCAACATACGCATTAGAGTGAATCAAATCTCCAAGCCATGATGGCATGAAGTAACTCAAGTGACAAGTAACATTCAGATTCCTCTAGACATCTCAATAAAGTGGCATACCTGAACTCTTGAAGGGACCAAATAATCTCGGGCACCTTCTGGAGTAGATCTAGAAAGTATTGGTGTCTCAATCTACCTTACAACCATGAAAGGACAAGATCAAAAACAAGTATGAATGTAGCCCATAAATGCAAACTGAAAAAATTGTTTTCAATAGAGAAGTTAAAAGGTAAATTCAAATTTCCAAATGCAGTACCTCCACAAAACCGTGAACGTCCTCTAGGTACCTGCGAATGAGTTTCACCACACTATGTCGCAACGTTATGTTTGAATTCATTTGTGGCCGGCGCAAATCAAGGCAACGATATCTAATAACATGCATTTGAGGCCTTTCAATCAGTATCGATGAGAGAATTACGCATCAAAATTCACACGCACATAGACAATGTGAGGGGAAGTCCTTTTGCAGTTTCTACTCTGTGGAGAATTACAAGCGTTTATAGACAGAAGATTATAAATTTCAGCACGCAATGAACAAAATCATCTTCATAACCTGAGCATATTTGAGGCACCATACAGAAATTTTGGTAGGAAAGTCTACATTTGTGAGGAGAGAAATGATCTTGTACTAAAAAAAGATACCTCAGAAAGTAAATTTTCCCTAACTATCAATTCCATCACCAGTAATGGTCCGCCCAATGCAAGGTTTCAGCAAATGCGAAACACCAAAAACCTTACAGAATCTAGCAGCACCATGACACACTAACAATAATAAAGCTGAAAGGCAAACTTCAAAGTTTGATTATTGCTTGAGTAATTTAAAAGGATATGTGTTAAATAATTAAGTTTTTAAAGGACTGATTTTTCAGGAGATTGGGGGGCAGGGGCATCTAAGCAATTCATACTACTAAAAGAAAAAAGTAACTAACATGCTCTTATACTTTGGATAAGTATCACCAAAAACAGGCAATCAGTAGGATGAGAAGGAATTAGGTCGTTCACTACCTCTATGTTATTTCTTAGTTTCAAAGGAGGATGGAAGATAAAGGATCTTTAAGCTTGAAGTAACTAAAGATAAATTAAAATAATTAAAAACTTAATTAGCATTATAAAATAAGATGTATTTCTCTGTCCTAGACTAACGGCAACTTAGCAAAGGATCACCTCACCATGGCCAAATGCCAAACATAAAGGATTTCTTAACCTAGATAAGATCAATTTGAAGCTAGCTACCTTAAACGGATTTCCTCTTTAACAGAATCTTTTACATCATCTGCAGTAGTAACCAAAAATGGCGTCGGCCCCGGCCCTGGCCTAGCCCCGCCCCAAAATTTCCCCGGTTTATCCCCGCCTCCGTATCTCTTTGTATTATATAAATATTAGTTGTATTTTATAAATGTCTATTTCACTTTTGATCTCAACTCTCTCTTGTCTCTCAACTATCTCACTCTCTCTCTGACTCTTATCTTCTCTCTCTCACTCTCTCACTCTCTTGTTCTTAACTCTCTCTCTCTCTCTGAACTCTCTCGTTCTCTCTCTCTCTCTCTCAACTCAACTCTCTCACAGTCACCGAACCCACCGCCACAGCCGAAGGTCTGTTCATCCCTGATTCATCCCCGTCTCTCTCTATTCTTGAGCAGAAGGTCCGTCTCTCTCTCTCCACCAACGAACCCACCGCCACAGCCATCGTCGATCTCGCCACCGTCAATCTCGCCAAATCTGTGTCAGACGATGGTGTACTCAGATCTGTACTCAGATCTGTTATCTCTCTCTCTTTCTCTCTATCTCTCTCTCTTTGATCTGATGTTGTTGATCTGTACTTAGATTTGTATTGTTGTTTATCTGTATTGTTCAGAATATTTTTTTTTTAATCTGTGTTAGTTATATATTGATTTGTTATATATTCATCTGTTAGGACATCCTTCGTACTAGATCCCAAATTTTCCGAAGATATAATCAGAAACACCTGATGAATTGACAGAGCTCGTGATAACTTACAATCAGCAGTCCAATGAGAGTGCATCAGGTTGATACAAATTTGAGGATGGTGAAACACCATAAAACTTTGATGGTCATCAAAAGAACTTGGCCACACTTGGGCAGCATACCACGACCTGATTTTGGGAAAGAAGCCTTATTTTGTAACGGAATGAGCTCGAGCTTGGGCAAGTTATATCTACTTCAGACTGATCTTGGTTTTTCCAAGGCTGCTTCAGTCCTGCCTGATTGACAGGCCTACTGGTACCAATACGTACCATAAAACGAGCAAAAACAATACAATGACAGGTACAACTGTGCAAGATTGATAACTATGGTCTTAAATCATAGTACCATTTAGTCCATTTCTCTATTACCTTCCCAACAAACTATTTGACTGTGAATATCAAACTTCAAGCTCAACATGGGCCTACAATATCAGAGACAAAACTAACCCTACCTACATATCTGAGGGGAAGAGAATGTCCATAAAAAACTAAAAGGCCATTTGTCTTACACAAATGCGAAAAATAGCATACTCTTCTATTAGTTAAACCAACAATTTAGTGTTTTTAACAAAGCAAAATTGTCTTACCTCTATCATCCCAGTCTTCATTTTCTTATTAACTGACTCACTGGGCCTAGGCCGAACAACACCTTCCACAGTAATCACAAACTCGAGCCTCAGGTCATTAATAATCGAATGTGCATCAGGGAACTCATCCGGGAGTGTGGTAACCTGAAAGTAATTAATGCCAACATCAACTAGGATAAATTACTGGTAAATTTTGCAAATTTAGTATATAAGTCAATGAAGTTGCATGCACTAAAACAACAAATTTTAATCAAACATTCTGTGGCATAAAAAACAACTTGAGACAGAAGCATTATCCACATAATATTACAGAGAAGGCCCAGAAACCAGACAACAATTTATAATTATTAATCCAAATGACACTGCCACTATTCTTCCTTTAATCCAACAATAATAATAAAAAACCTTCGTCGTTTCACTAATATCAAAAATGCCCTCGGCACATTGAAGCACATTCTCATACATTCATGTTTTGTGAGCAAAAACATAGGCTAGAATCAAATCAATACATATATATGAATTCAAAATTGATAAATTATTTAGCATCAAAGTAGTTCACACTCAGTGACTAATCTTAATTACAACACATTATGAGCTATAAATTATATATTTACAGCAAACTGAACACCATCATTGTATGAACTCCCAAAAAAACCCTAACGCATCATCACTGTTTTTAGTTGCTTTTTATTTTATTTTTTAAAATCTAAAAAATGATGCCTTTTGGTTATTGCTACAAAAATTGCAACTTTTTTTAGTGAAAAAAGTTGATATTTTTAGCTCAAGACAAACAAGGCCTAAGGTTAACAATCAAATGGAATTTTCATCTTGCAAACCTGCACAATCCCAGTGTGGTCTCTGAGATTGAGGAAAGTGAGACCACCGTGAATCCGGTGAAGCGCGACCCACCCGCAAAGTCTGACCCGTTTACCGACGTCGTTTTCAGACAATTCACCGCAAAACCCGGTTCTGCTGACCCATTCGAGAGAGCCTTTGAAGGGTATTGCAGGCTGTTTAGGGTTAGAAATTAGGGTTTCTGATGAAGTAGATGGAGCTGCTGAAGCAGAAACGGAGTAAGTGGTTCTACTTGGATATATTCTGGGTTGAGTGAGTGTTTGCAAGTTGAGGTACAAGAGGGGGATAGATGAGAGAGAAAGGGGTATGGAACGTAGGGTTATAGTAGGCAGAGCTCGGAGAAACATGGACATGGTGATTCTTGGGTTCGTGGAGAGAGAGACAGTGGCAAGGTCGACGGCGATAGAGCTTATCTGAGGGTTCTAGGATTGAGCCAGAAGAGAGTGCGTACAAGCAAAGCGGCGCGAACCGACCTAATTCGGTTTATTAAAAACTTCCCTGAAATAAAAAATCTAAATTTTAATACATTCGGTGGTGTTTGGGCACTTGGTTTTGGGATTTTTTATTTTTTTTTTCACTAAAAGATAAATTTTTTAGAAAATTAAAAAAAATAAATCTAAATAAAACATCACATTCAATTTCATAATCATTTCACTTTTTTTCTCACAAACATTATATCTAACTACAAAAAAATCCAACTATCTTCTTAAATACTAAAAAAATTTTATCCAATTATATCTTATAACTAAAAAAACCTACATAAAAATCCACTTCTCAAACACCCACTATAATATAAATTTTGTTAGTAATTTATTACTCAAATGTTATAAATCAATTATCCAAACATCCAATCGAAAAACATTGGAAGGAATATATCCGGCTTGGGTAACTTGTTCTTTCTAAATATTTCGATCTTGATGTAACTTATTTTGTTTTGAAATGAAAGTTTCACAATAAACCACATTATTATGTATAAAAATTATATATGAATTTTTTGTTTGTATAATATTACTTATAAGTGTATAACTATTAATATCCTATCAACTTGAACTAAAAGATAAATGATTTCTGCTATCAAAATAAATCGAAAATGAACTTAAAGCTCTCAATTGGATTTTTAGTTTATTTGGTCTCGTTTGGCAAATAATTTTTTTAGTCAAAAAGTCGCTAAAAAAATAAAAAGTCAATAATTCATACCAAAAGGCCAAATATTTCATTTTTTCTCTACTTTTTTCACATCTTTTCGTAAAAAGTCAAAAAGTTATCTTAAACATACTAGTTTTTTTAAATCACATTTTAGTCAAAAAGTGACTAAAAAAACATGTTCCCAAACGAGGCAAAAAAACCAAATATTTATGGCTTCAATACAAAAAATTTTACAGATTGAATTATAATAAGTTTTGTAAATCAAAAAATGAAGACAAGTTTATATGTAATATAAAAAATAAAAGTACTCGGCCTTTACTTTTGTTAAACTCATTTAAAATCGATTTGTTGCGTAAATAACACAGGTTTTTTTTTTTTACAACGAAAATAAAAAATAACAAAGAGACAAAGGCCTCGTTTGGGAACAGATTATTTTAGTAATTTTTTGACTTTTTTGCTAAAATATAAGGTAAAAAAAACTAGTATGTTTGGGGTGATTTTTTGACTTTTTACGAAAATATGTACACAAAGTAGAGAGAAAAAATAATTTTTGACTTTTTTATAAGTTATAGGCTTTTTGACTTTTTTTAATAACTTTTTTACTTTTTGATTAAAATGTTAACTTGTCAAACGAGGCCTAAGCCCGTTCCTTAGACATATTCCTACCATGTTTGCAACAAGGAGACTTCTAATTTCAATTGGTGGTTCATTCACCACCATTGTATCTTCAATTTGTTCTGCTCCAAACTTAACTAAGACATCAGCACATAGGTTCCCTATTTTCCAAACATGTTAAAGAGTACACTTACATCCTCTAAGCAACGTCTTGGCATTTTCTGCCAAGTTCTCAAAAGGGCATTTATCCCCTATTTATTCCTCCATCAATTGCACTACCTGAGCTACATCTGTTTTAAATCTGTTTTAATGATTACATTATTTAAGCCTTTTTGAAGTATGATTGTTAGCCCAACTTCACGGCTGGTTCCTTGTTGCAATCTGCCATAGTGTCCATACACCCATACTCCTCTTTCATCTCAGATCAACCCTCAAAATCCTTAATCTCCTCCTACTTTCCTACTACCATCTATGTTGAGTTTTAGGATATGTTTGGTTTGGTTTTAAGAGAGTAGTTTTTAAAAAGTATTTTGGAGAGAGAGTGTAGAAAATTTTTTAGTTTATTTGGTTATGTATTTTAAAAGTAGTTTTGGAGTTTGGGAGTTTGGAATAATTTAATATTTTGTTGTAATTGAGTAGATGTACATAAGAGAAAAAATGATTGAGAATGAGAAAGGAGAGAGGAGAGAGAAAAAGTGATTGATTGATGTGTAAGAGAGAGAAAGTAATTTTAGAAAAATTACAAACCAAACAAGTTTTTTGAAATTTTTTTCTCAAAAGCACTCTACAAAGCCAAACCAAACATACCCTTAGTCTTCCTGCAGGTGGTAAACTACAAGTGATTAGTCTATAAGAAAGTCTAGAGATAGGTACAATGTAAAGGAAAGCTTGATGGATTTCTCTAGAGTAATCCAAAATGAATTTGGCACTCTATTTGTTACTCATAGATTTTCCTTAGACATAAAATCATTTATGTTTGTAGGGTTATAGTAGGCAGAGCTCGGAGAAACATGGACATGGTGATTCTTGGGTTCGTGGAGAGAGAGACAGTGGCAAGGTCGACGGCGAGAGAGCTTATCTGAGGGTTCTAGGATTGAGACAGAAGAGAGTGCGTACAAGCAAAGCGGCGCGAACCGACCTAATTCGGTTTATTAAAAACTTCCCTGAAATAAAAAAATCTAAATTTTAATACATTAGGTGGTGTTTGGGCACTTGTTTTTGGGATTTTTTTTTGATTTTTTTCGCTAAAAAACAAATTTTTTAGAAAATCAAAAAAAATACATCTAAATAAAATATCACATCCAATTTCATAATCATTTCACTTTTTTTCACACAAACATTACATTTAACCACAAAAAAATCCAACTATCTTCTTAAATACTAAAAAAAATTTATCCAATTATATCTTATAACTAAAAAAATCTACATAAAAATTCACTTCCCAAACACCCACTATAATATAAATTTTGTTAGTAATTTATTACTCAAATGTTATAAATCAATTATCCAAACATCCAATGAAAAACATCGGAAGGAATATATCGGGCTTGGGTAACTTGTTCTTTCTAAATATTTCGATCTTGATGTAACTTATTTTGTTTTGAAATGAAAGTTTCTCAATGAACCACATTATTATGTATAAAAATTATATATGAATTTTTTGTTTGTATAATATTACTTATAATTGTACAACTATTAATATCCTATCAACTTGAACTAAAAGATAAATTATTTCTGCTATCAAAATAAATAGAAAATGAACTTAAAGCTCTCAATTGGATTTTTAGTTTATTTGGTCTCGTTTGGCAAATAATTTTTTTAGTCAAAAAGTCGCTAAAAAAAATAAAAAGTCAATAATTCATACCAAAAAGCCAAATATTTCATTTTCTCTCTACTTTTTGCATATCTTTTCGTAAAAGTCAAAAAGTTATCTTAAACATACTAATTTTTTTTAAATCACATTTTAGTCAAAAAATTAAAAAGTGACTAAAAAAACATGTTCCCAAATGAGGCAAAAAAAACAAATATTTATGGGTTCAATACAAAAAATTTTACAGATTGAATTATAATAAGTTTTGTAAGTCAAAAAATGAAGATAAGTTTATATGTAATATAAAAAATAAAAGTACTCGGCCTTTACTTTTGTTAAACTCATTTAAAATCGATTTGTTGCGTAAATAACACAGGTTTTTTTTTTTTTTTTTTTACAACGAAAATAAAAAATAACAAAGAGACAAAGGCCTCGTTTGGGAATAGGTTATTTTAGTAATTTTTTGACTTTTTTGCTAAAATATGAGGTAAAAAAAACTAGTATGTTTGGGGTGATTTTTTGACTTCTTACGAAAATATGTACACAAAGTAGAGAGAAAAAATAATCTTTGACTTTTTTATATAAGTTATAGGCTTTTTGACTTTTTTTAGTAACTTTTTTACTTTTTAATTAAAATGTTAACTTGTCAAACGAGGCCTAAGCCCGTTCCTTAGACATATTCCTACCATGTTTGCAACAAGGAGACTTCTAATTTCAATTGGTGGTTCGTTCACCACCATTATATCTTCAATTTGTTATGCTCCAAACTTGACTAAGACATCAACACATAGGTTCCCTATTTTCCAAACATGTTAAAGAGTATACTTACATCCTCTAAGCAAGATCTTGGCATCTTCTGCCAAGTTCTTAAAAGGGCATTTATCCCCTATTTATTCCTCCATCAATTGCACTACCTGAGCTACATCTGTTTTAATGATCACATTATTTAAGCCTTTTTGAAGTATGACTGTTAGGCCCTTATACAGTGCCCATAGCTCAACTTCAAGGCTGGTTCCTTGTTGCAATCTGCCATAGTGTCCATACACCCATACTCCTCTTTCATCTCAGATCAACCCTCAAAATCCTTAACCTCCTCCTACTTTCCTACTACCATCTATGTTGAGTTTTAGGATATGTTTGGTTTGGTTTTAAGAGAGTAGTTTTTAAAAATTATTTTGAAGAGAGAGTGTAGAAAATTTTTTAGTTTATTTGGTTGTGTATTTTAAAAGTAGTTTTGGAGTTTGGAATGATTTAATATTTTGTTATAATTGAGTAGATGTGCGTAAGAAAAAAAATGATTGAGAATGAGAAAGGAGAGAGGAGAGAGAAAAAGTGATTGATTGATGTATAAGAGAGAGAAAGTAATTTTAGAAAAATTACAAACCAAACAAGTTTTTTGAAATTTTTTCTCAAAAGCACTCTACAAAGCCAAACCAAACATACCCTTAGTCTTCCTGCAGGTGGTAAACTACAAGTGATTAGTCTATAAGAAAGTCTAGAGATAGGTACAATGTAAAGGAAAGCTTGATGGATTTCTCTAGAGTAATCCAAAATGAATTTGGCACTCTATTTGTTACTCATAGATTTTCCTTAGACATAAAATCATTTATGTTTTTCCAATTTTTCCATAAAGCAACAACAAAAATAGTATACCAAGAGAGATCATCATTAAAGTGCTTATTACATTTAGTATTTGTATGAGCATGAGATAATCTTCTCGTATAATCTTGTTGATCAAGCTTGCGCTCCTCCTTACGTCGTTGCTTTACTCCCTGAAAACACAAACGTGAGCTAACCGGCGGGTGTGTGCCGGATACCTCTCTGATGCTTAAGTCAACAAAGTAGACAATAAACTAGAGCTCTGTGTATTCGAGAGTCAAAATTGTGATATATGTACATAGGTCCTATCA